TATTGTACGATTACAGGTCCGTAACGAATTAATATGTTTGGGGGGAAAGGGCGCAACCGATTTTTAATTTTCCAACTGATGTTTTACACACACACGCGCGCAAAAATATGCATTTGTAAATAAAAAATAATTATCAAAGATTAATATTAAATCAACTTAATTTCATTCCACTACAGATTACTTCAAATTAATAAGAAAAAAAAATTTTGTTGCTCTCGCCGGGAATCGAACCCAAAAGACATTCTTAATACAGTAAGTTAATATTATTAGCTTAGTCGAATTCGTCTGTGTTTATGTTTCGTTCATAAATTCACCATATTGTTTAGATCAGTAGCATCCCAAAGATCTTTTTCGCTTTTTGTCATCTTTGGGCATCATATCTCTCCTCTTTAATGATGGACCTGGTCGAATATTTTAATTTATATTTAGCAGCTACGATAATGATGCCTTACATGAAACAGCACATATCAAATAGTGTCTCTAACGCGTTTAAAGCTGTTATGACCTAGCCATATATATATGATCAGGCGGATACAGCAGAGTCAATTTTTCAATACATATTTTCACTTGTGATATTATTTTTGTCTAAAAGGTTTTGTGAAAATATTTGGATTGGATTCAAACGTTTTACATTTATTTTGCGTTTACCTTGTAAAAAATTTGTAATTTTATCTTAAACGCTTACAAAATCTTTTCTATAAAATATATTTGTATCAAAGCTAGCTGCATATTGGACTCACAGTTATCAATTGTGATATATTGATATTTGTGTTTAGTTTTTTAATTATATTATTAACAAAATAAATCAATCCATAATTAATTGAATGTAAACAACAAAAAAGGTTCAAAAGGACTTTCCCTTCCGCATATCAATGTAGGTAGGCGTCAATTGGTAAATTTTTAACTTTATTCATTCTTTTTTTAAGTACTTTGTTAAATGGCTTTAAGCCACTTGTAAGTAGGTTCGTGATACTTTGGTACAATTTTGTCCAACTTTTTAAAGTCTTCTTCTGCCTTCAATCTCAGCACCCCGTTGATTACATTCAATCAATTATTAGTTACACGTCAAAAAAAAGCATTTGATGTATGATTAGAAGAATAAGGAATTGCATTCGATAGGAAAATTACTACGTAAATCACTGATAAGATTAATGTAGGTAGTAATTCCTTGTTCACAGTTCTTTTTCTTTCTGTGAGTTAAAATTTTCTTTGACGCGTTAAAGTTAATAAACAATTTCCATAATATTAAAAATTTCTAAAAGAATAACATATTTAATAGGTTAGTTGTCGTTAAAAATTTTAATTAACTGTTTTAATATTTAAAAAACCACACAAATTAGAAAATTTTTAAAATTCGGATAATTGTTGTTAACTTGTTCTCCACTCAAAAATAATTAATAGTAATAACACCGTTCAGGTCTCATGATCTCTAATTATTGATTACGTTGTACTTAGTCATTATTTTAATGATTTCATAATTCCCGAGTATTTTTTTTTTATTTTAATAAATAAAAATTAGTAGATAAAGGACGTGCAATAAAGCGTTCAAAAAAATGCGTCGGAAATTAAAGAAAGAAAGAAGTAAGATGGCCGCCGTTGCAAGGGAAAGCAATCAACTCTTTCGATGTAAATTCGCCTCTTTTGGATCCGTGCCGTGCTGCCACCCGCCACCCCCTACGCCCCCATTAATGCCCCTCTTTCATTCTTTCACCCTACTTTTACGACGGCGTCTTTCACTGAAGAGAACGGGAAACGGTCGCGCGAGTTAGAAAAAGACCAAAATTTTTCCCCTGCCATTGCGAGAAGCGAGACGGAAGATTCGCTACCGCTCCGATTGTCCGATTGTGTAGTTTTATACTCTGTACAGCAAAAGCAGGACGACTGTGAAGAATTTATTTTTCCACCCCCGATCTTCCGTCTGTTTCTTTCTCTCCCTCTCCATCGAACCCAAGGGGGGTGGGATGCCTTTATTGATTCCTTTTGCTAGCGTTTTTAAAATGGCAACACGGACATCGGGCCTAACAGCCTAACAAAACCTCTCTTTTTACTTTTCTGTTTTATTTATTCGAACGAATTGAATCCAAATACGGACATTAAAAAAATATATCTATATAAAAACCATAAAACGTAAAATGGGTAAAAAAAAGTAAAAGAAAATGTAGGCCGACTTCAGAAATGGTAAAAAAGAGAAAAAATTAATTGAAAAATGCTTGTTATTAGTTACAAGTTATGAAAATGTGGTTTGATTTGCTAATAGAATCATGTATTAAACAATTAAAATGTCCTAATAGTACTAAGTAATACATCCCGTAATAATTCTTATTTATAATAAACTTTA